TACAGGTATCTTGACGAGGACACTTTCGATAGACTCGTTTCCATGTTCTTTTGGAATTGCCCGCGATTCGAATCACGGGAACGATGACGTGTTCTTAGAATACGAGAGGACTATGACACCGTTAGTGTCTGAAGTGGTTTTGCACCCTGCAGATGCGAAAGGAGAGAAATGACGATGAGGAGTGGGATGAAAAAAATTCTTCGATAATTTTATGCCATCTAAATTATTACGATGCAATATTCAATCTACGTTTACGAATGAAAGATTTTGAATTCGGGACTTTTAGCCCCATCCTACCCTATCGCAATCGAAAGTATCGATTGTTTACTTGTATTTACTTGGATCAGTTCATCCCTACTCTCAACCCCCACCCTATAGTGGCTCTATCTGAATTGTAAAAATGACGTTTCAACCGTTTCGTTCGATGCGGAGCCATTGTTGCGTGTTTCGTCGTTATTAAAAAGCCTCTCCGGGATATCTGAACTCGTATTCGAGGGGGTTGGGCTCCTGTTTCTTTGCCGCAGTTGAGTAATCGGCACCGATAACGAGGCACACTGGTGCTCCAGATAGAGGATCGGAATCGTTATCGGAAACATCCAGGCTCCCTTCCCTTTTACATTTCCTTTCGAACACGATTCTGCCCTTCTTTTCCAACTAGATTCTGCTCGTAAAGGGACACACCCGTGTTTAATCCTTTTCTAATAAATGGTACTTGGTCCTCAATGCTCGACGGACCGTTAACGAGTCCTCGTTCGATCCTATAAAATAGAAAGAGGCGATCCCGTTTTCGACTGAGTCTGAAGACTAGTATGTAGAGTCTATTCTGTAGATCACCCATCAAAAACATTTCATACCAGATTGTGCATGGAAAAGGTACTAAATTTGAAAAGAAGAAGTACTAAATTTTCTAATTCTTTAATTCTCCTAAAAGTAGGGGAGACTGAGAACTTTTACACTTTAGACCTTACTACGTAATAATTCCAACGCGTCGCTTCTTCGTCATTCTTGTAACTTTACGCGGCGTGACCGAGCTGCAGGTGGATAGGAAACGTGGCACTGAAAACCCTACGGATATTCTTGTTTCTTATATGTATATGTATACTTTCGAGACACCTTCGAAACAGTCGTGTAGACACATTGTAATAGAGTCCAGATCGTATGTCAGGTCTCCGTTTTAACCCTTCCATTCCCAAATTATTGAAAGATTAACAAAGAAATATTTTGTTGTGTTTTTTGTGAATATTACATAACATACAACTTTTCCGCTAAGAAAAACGTTGTTTCAAATCACACCAGGAATTACCCCCTTCAAGGACTTACACCTATTTTGGAACACCCTGTATATTATACCATTCCTGTCGTTCCATTCCAGCGTTCACCCGATCTAGAAATAATTGTTTCATTGTACAATCTCGCGAAAAGTAACGGATAATTATTGGCGAGTCAGTCAGTTTCTCCGTAAAATGATTTCAACTTTCTCTTGTGGATAGGGAGAGAATTCCTAAGCTCCTTGTCCGTCACGAATCCATGAATGGGCTCCATTCAGTCCCATTTACATTTTTACCGTCCAATGACACGCAAGTCGAGGTGCCGTCATACTCCGCCTCAACCGCTTTATATCGAACACTTACGTATGTACATATACAGGGTGTCCCAAAAAGATGGGACAATCCGCAACGTGGATATTCCTCATTCAAATACAAATCGGAAAGTCCTTTACGGTTTTGTAATCTGAAGTTCCATTGCCGAGATATGAATAGTTACACGAACTGACACGTATACGCGCAGATACAGTGGAGAAGCGCACAACCCCAGTCACTGGCGTCTGGCGTCTTCACTGTAACTGCGCGTACGTGTGGCCCACCGCTCAGCTGATTGGAGTTCGTTTAACTGCTAATATCTCGAAAACGGAGCTTCGAATTACAAAACGGTAAAGGACTTTTCGATTTTTATTTGCATGAGGAATATCTATGCTGCGAATTGTCCCATGTTTTTGGGACAGCCTGTATATATGCTATATTTCTTCTAGCATTCGATCGAACCAACATCGATAAGCGACCGGTGATAAGGAACGAGCTCGAAGGATATCACGTTTGCAACCGTGTATTCGGCCGTTGAAAATCGGAGCAATCGCGCGGGACGAACGGTGGCTGATCGAGAAACGAAGAGATGTTCGTTTCGATGGGGGAGGGGCCTGGCGGAAAAAGAGGTGACCGCGAAGATTCGCGGGAAAAGAATATTTACGACTACGTTCGAATGCGTTCCAAGTAGGTTGCCGTGCATCGTGGCCACACGCTGACTTTTGACCCAGTTCGAAGCTTGTCGCAAGCTCTCGTAACCTTAAACAACACACACACCACTGATCTCTATATACTAACTGGATGTGGTATCCCGTGTTAGACTCGTGTTTCGAATCGAAGACCCCGACCGCCATTTTGTATGGAAACAGTTTCTCACTTTTCAGCAATAAATTTGAATTAATAATAAAGAAATTATTAGTTGAAGCATAAAGGAAGCGATAAAAAAAACAAACGTGCATGAAGCAAATGGGAAAAGGTATAGATGGCCTAAAAGAAGAAAATAGATAATGGACTGATTCAGCAACATAATAAAAACATTAAATATAAATATGAAAACAATTTTATTCCTAGCAATAAAAGTACATGTAGGTACAAAAATTAACGTGATAGGGCGTTTTTGTTCGTCATTTGGCGAAGTACTGTCTATCCTAGAAGGTTAGGAGCCCTATTTTTGTATCACCCTGTATATTACTATGCACTACTCAGAAAATTTCATCGTCGAGGAGCCGAAACGAATCACAGCTGCCATCACTGGTGTATGAATAAATTATCTTTTTTTCATTTTATTGGTATAATCAGCATTCCAACGCTTGTTCAATGGCTTTATTGCCCGATACGGCGGGGGTGGATTCGTTTCGCGTCGAGCGTCGTCTGCCCGTGACATCCATTCAACTGTTAAACGAAATATTAATTAAACTCGGTATGTATTATCGTATCGATCGATGGGCGTGCCCACACGAAACTGCATCACCATTGGTTCAGTTGTTTAACGGTGGGATTTACAAAAAACGAATTAGGAATGTTCGATTCCGATTCTATTCCTCAAAAAATCGATCTTTCGAATCAATTCGTAGCTCAGAGATTAGTCGGGGTTTTCGTTAATAACTCATTAACAAAGGCCTCGGATAACATTTTTGCAAAGCAAAAATTTGTTACACCCTGAATGTATTTATCAATATCCTAGTCTCTTGGAAAGGGAAAAAGATGACAGTAGCTCGGGTCCTTGACGATCCACTTGAAGATCGTGATGTTCCCAATAAATGCCAGAAATTAAATTTTCTCTTTGATCACGCGATACCCGTCCAGAAGTCCGAATAAATCAATGCCCGTAGTAGTGGCCGTATTTCATTTCGCGTTTGATCGCCGTTCGTGACTACAGGCCTCGGGGTCAAGTGTTCCAGAAATTGTTTCGGACAGTCTTATCGGGCCACTCGTTGGTGCGCGCACGCTAATGCATCGACGTCCTTAACCATATCCATTTCATTTTTCGTTTTCAATGCTGTCGGTTCGCGCATGCTGGATGCACCGAATCGAAAGTTATCTCGTCTTCGTCTAAACCAGTGTTTCTCAACCTTCTGAAGAAGATTAACATTAAAATAAATAAAGTGGCAGTATTAGGGATACTGGTAGTTCATCGGAACATTTACCACATACCATCGTGTCTCTTGTGTACGCGACCCATGGTGGTTGCCTTCTTCGGGAAAGCCATGAGCGTCGAGGTCTCGTTAATCTTCTTTTCAATTGCACGCTCGTAATTACACACGAAGCAATCATTGTAGAAGTGTCGTTCTTTCCGTGGCGAGAGGAGACCGCCGCCGCTCCGGTTCTATCCTTACCACAGGGGAATGGGGGGAGGACGAACGCATTGTTTCACGCTGGCAGAATACCAACGTCGTCTCACATTTCCCATTGGGACACAGAACCGCGACTTGCAAACCTGGAAATGATCCGAATATGGTCTACTTCCTGTCTCTGTTTTAAAAAGATATGTATCATCGAGAGGTTGTTGCACCTTGGCTCGTGTCGACACGACCATTGTAAAAAGAAAAAAAAAAAACACGACACATCCTGCACGTGGATGACTTAGACCTTGGGGATACAATTCAGGCCATATAATGAGAGTTTCGAGTTGGGCCGCGGTGATCGATGGTATTAGAAAGGTTGTGAAACGTTAATCCGTAGGATCGGTGTGAGATCGATTACCGAAGAAATAGCACAATAGTTTCGCCGCACGAGAGAACTTTATACTAATCGCAAGAATAAGAGGTTCCTTAAAGAGAGGTTAAACTTCGTTTTATTAATTGTCACGACGTTACAAATCGGGACTTTCTACGGAAATATACAGGGTATTCCGAAAAAATAGCCAGCCCCTAGAGGGAGAGAGAGAAAGACGGACAGACGGGCAAGAACTGGAATGCTCAGAATGTTAATCGTTTAATAGGGTGTAATCGGTTAATGAGAGTCCGCGCTCGGCCCCGAACCTCTTCGAGGTAAGACTATAATACGCACTGGATGATCGCAGCGCCTGCCTCTCGCCCTTCTCTTTATGTTGGCCTCACAAAAATCGGATACTCTTCCCGTAGCAGGTTCTGCCGCAAACACGCACGGTGGTCCAGAATTGAACTTAATTTTATTTTATTTTATTAACGGGTATTCACCCTTTATAATACAGTTGAACGGTAAGTATTCGAATAATTTCGAATACGAATGATTTATTCGAATAGTACGAAGTATTCAAATACTACGAATAATTCGACTAGTACGGAGTATTGTGTTCATTTATCTACCTCTATTTGACCAAAATTTTGTATTCCTTCAGCAGCATACGCGTATAGAAATGGTACTTACATTTTGATTTCGGACCACTGTGTGTGGCTTCGTCTGGTTCAGATAATGGATGAAAATTTTGTATATGCGCAGGACGTGGAATGATAAATGGTGGCGACCAGCAGCATGGTGTATGAGGAGATAGTCGGGATACGGGGCAGCTGACCCCAGCCGCCGCGCACGCTTTTCACGCGCGAGATGCCCCACAACTTGAACCACCCCGTTTCCACCAACTCCGCCAACACGGGACCGAATAATCATAATCATCATCATCATCATCATCATCATCATCATCAGGCCTACGCGCACCAGCCTTATCACCGGACGAACGGAGATGGATTCCAAGCAGAGGTACACCTAGTTTTTTTTTCATCCAGTTGTATTACAGGTACAAACCGATATCGTTCAAGGTATCGATACTTCAATTCATACCTTATATCGAACATAGTACCGATATTTAGCATCGAATCAAAACTGTACTCTTCTCAGTTACAGTTGAATATCAAATTCGAATGATTCAAATATCAAATCCGAACTCTATTCGAATATTTGTATCAACCCTAATCTTGCCCACGGAAAACGTGTTTCCAGAAAGAACCGGTGCAGTTCGACACGTCCCATTTACGGGGCGCGCCGGCGGAGGTCGAGGCCCTTGTGCACAACATCCGTGATGTCGCGCAGCAGTTTCTCTATCATTGGCGAACGTTCCCGATCGTGCTGCCGCCGCCGTTATCCACGTGCACGGACGGCGGCGAGGACACGCTCGCCAGGAAGAAACACCACCTGAGGGATCTGTTCGTCGCGCCCAGCTTCGACGAGCTCGACTCGGTCGCCGTGGACAGCAAGGGTGAACCGAGGCGGCTGACCAAGAAGCAACTGGAGAGCATCAGTAAACGAGGGTAGGTCCCCTCCTACTCGGCCGTCGAGTATTCAGAAACCGAATTCCGTAGAGGCAGACGCTAGAGAAACCAGAACAGCCTCTCTCTCCATGATCATACAGAAGGTATCCCATCCAACGTTAGCATCTTTAATATCTCATCTGTTTTTGTGAAGATAGAAGAAAATTCTGAGAGGAAAATGTTATTTGGTTTGGAAGGGACAAATACTTTGACAAGCAAACAATCTTTCTCAAGTTCAATTGTTCGGTTTTCGAAATTTTAAGATCATCGATGGTTTTTTCTTTATATGTGGCTACATATTTTTACCATCGTGGCGTAATTGTGGAGGACAAAATCAATCCAAGGACCTGTAATAATGACCTTCGTATGACCTTCAGTATGAAAAATCTATAGAATTATTATTGTCTCCGCATTGAGTATGAACAATAATTTATCGTTTACAACAATGTATCGAAGTTGATGGAACATTTGTTAAAATTAATTTTCTGCACTGATCCCTCTATCGTAGTTATTTTATTATTTAAACCTAGTCCCATAGTTTTATAGATTCTTCGTACTCAAGATCGTACTATTATAGGTCATCGGACTGGTTTTGACCTCAACTATTACGCCATGATGATAAGAATATATAGTTCCGTTTAGAAAACCACCGATGACCTTGAAATTTCAAAAAATATCACCTTGAGAAACTTTTTTTTCAGTTCACAGTATTATTTGGGCCTTCCAATTAAATAATATTTTCCACTCGTATTTTTCTCTATCATCGAAAACAAGTGAGATATTCAAGGTGTTAACGTTAAGTGGGACACCATGTATACGTGTATCCTTGATCCAGGATTTGCAGAATCCGTGAATCGATGCTTGACTGGTAACTAAATAAGTAATCGACGAGCGATATCGAACGACTCGTCCCTGCAACTAGTTTGATCGAGGATACTTTTTTTTCCTCTCCTTACTTTATACAATATCCCAGAAACGCTTCCAGACGCGATATTATACATATTTACTGGGTAGAGCAAGCGTGTCGTTTTAGAATTAGAGATTAGCGATTCGTGAATTCGGACGCGCGCACAGGTATGTACTTTACTATTATAGAAGGTCCACGACACATTAATGTCCATGAATAATATATATACATATATATATATATATCTGTTTGTTGACCACTTAGGCTTGAACGAAGCTCTCTCTATCTCTATCTCGCAGTGCAAAACGCTAGTCTCAAAGCGTGTAGCTAAGTATAACAATCTGTAGTACGAATGACGAAGACAGATCAAACTACTTCGATCGGAAACGAACGATATGGAGTCATTTCACAAGAAATTGGACCACTTTTTGGAGTAACATTTCGGATTTTGTTGTCACTTGGATATGTTGTAGTCTTTAGTGATGTATAAAGGTATCTTGAAAGATTTTTAAAAGGTCTTAATTCTACAGATGTTTGAAATATAGCGTCAACCTTTTTTTCAATAAATCATAACTGTTCAAGGTTAGTTCAACGATTGAAAATTTATTGAAAAAAGGTTGATGCTATATTTCAAACAGTTGTAGAATCAAGAATTTTGAAAATATTCAAAAATCCTTCAAGATACGTTTACATGTCACTAAAGACTACAATATAATAATACTAATAATAATAATTATAATATTTATTTCCAACATATCAAAGTGTGAAAAAAATCCGAAATGATGCTCCAAAATTATCCGATTTCGCGTGGAATATCCCAGATGCAAATTAAGAGAGCCCTAAAAAAACCAAAACTGGCGCCTCGTTTATCAAGATCTCCCGTTCTTTTTTTTTTCTCTCTCTCTCTCTCCGTTCTTCCATTCGATACAATCTAACGATTTTTGTAAAGCTTTCAGAAGGAGAAGTACGGAAAATCGAAGAAGCTGAATGCCACTCAATTGGAGAGCATTCGGAGATGCGGGTATGTCACACATGCATCACCGTCATACACACAAAATATTCACGGATTAATTCCTCATGGCGACAACCTTAGAGACCCGGAATCACAAATCTTTTTCTCTCATCCTCGACGTTTCTTCCGAACCGATTAGAAGGTTTCACGTGGAAATTCGAGAAAGCATGACCCCCACGTCGTATCGAAACCAGGGCTTAAAAACTGTTATAATATCGATTTGGGTTCTTAAAACATTTATGAAGAACCTCCATTTTGAATAACTCTTATGAAGAACCTAAATTACATCGGTTCTTCGTAACAGTTACTCAGAATATAAAGGTTCTTCACAACTGTTTCAATCGAAACCTTTATATAACAGTTTGAAACAGTTATTTTCGGATTCGTTTCAAGCCCTGAATCGAAACACATATCCAGTTCGCTAGACCACGATCTATCATCCCGAATTAATGTAAAGGAAAAAAAAAAGAAACCAAACAACGAGAGCACTGCCAAATGCAACAACTACATTACACACATTCTACACCGTTGGAACCGATGGTTCTTGTTTCGGGCAGTGGTAGCACCGTATAGAGGCTATCCTTTCTTGGATTATTATCTGTAGGCCCGCTGATAATTTAGTTAGACGATAGCTAGAAAAAAGCTTGTAAACGACCACACCTTCTGCCCGCAAGAATCACCATCGAGGAGCGTGTTGTAACAGCAGGAGGGGATTTGGGATTGCTTATAGAGTGTACTGCAGAGCTTTTAACAGATGTTTATTTTTCTAAGGCTAACGTCGCTGTACATATTAATGATTTTGCTTTGGTTATTCCAGCACGATACCGTGTGGTGTGTAGGTGTACCTACTGTTTTTGTTTTTTAGTTTTCTTCTGTGTGTATCCTTAGAGCGTGCTTGTAACAAATTCAGATTGGTTTTTGGTGTACCAACAAACGAAGATAAGCAGCGACAAAGTAGCTTAACCCCTTTGGTGCGGCAAAATTTTGACAAATGAGTCGCGTATGCACGGAATACTTTACTGTTTATGGCACTTCTACTACTACTCCTTACTACTTTACTGTTTTTTCACCATTGTCTATTAAATGTAAGTCTAGTATAAGCAGTATTACGCGTGAAAAACGTTAAAAATAAGATTGTGAGTGACAAACGATAAGATGAATTAGTCGGTATGGTACTACAGACTCCGCTCGGTTATTGTCTGGCTCGTGCTACACGATTATTGTCCAAGCATCATGCCCACCAAGGGGGAGGAAACCGTGGAACCTGTCAAGCGCATACTTTGTTTCCAAGGCTCGGGCTTCTTGTAAAGCATATCTCCCTACAAGATTATTGTTCCGATTTCGGGACGATAATCGAGAGGAGTCTGTAACCTAAAAATTATTGCACTCCACTGTAAACACGCTTACAGAGCTCGTAGCAGCCAATTCATAAAACGTGTATCCACCCTCATAGCACCGAAAGGGTTAATGTTCCACACGCGCTCTCTCACACACATATAAGACCGGGTAAGAAGCTGCACAAAGAAAAGTTACGAGGATAGATATCATTTGAAAAAAAAAACAACGGCATTCGAATTTTTTTATACCGAAAAACACCACAAAATGAGTAACACACATGTGTATATGTGAATGTTTCATTGTTATATATATAAGATCGTAGAGAACCAGTAGTATTCCTGTTGGTTTTCTCAAAAAAAAAAAACGTGTAATCGAGGACTTCACTGATTTGCAATTCGGGATTTTCAGGGAGTTCGAGGTCGATTCGATTAACTTCGCGGGACAGACGCATCGATGGCGATTGAGCGGTCTTCTGCAGCGTGGACGGGACCGAAGGCGAGACGCTTTGCTCCGTGATCTTGCGTTGGCCACCAGATTCCTCGTGGTCACCGCGAAAGCGAGACTTGTGTCCCACTGCTTCAGTGTTTCCCAGTCCCTGAAGGCATTTCTGACCGGGCTCTTACGGCTTCTTGGTGAGAGCTTTTCTTTCCCAGATAGCACATGAGGTCCAATGACGCTTTAAAGACGGTTTAAAGACGCCTTAGACCTAAAATAGCCGTAAAATGGGCGTCTTCAAGGCGTTATTGTGCTATTTGGGTTTGGTGTACCCCAGTCAGCCAAACCAAATTTTGTCCAATGCCTGTGATAAAATTACGGCTACAAGTTTGATGCAAGATTTGCAACATGGGCAGCAAATTGGCTTGCCCAACCTTGTTCCATTTTTGCCTCCAATTTGACACAGGTTAAGTTTCTAGACTTGCTGCCAATTTGCTTTACCATTTTGTCATCTGGTGTTGCCTGCAAAACCCAGGATAAATGTGGCAACAGATGGTCATGGTTTTTTAAACAACTTTTGTCAATATTTGCTGGCAATTTGCTTGAAACTTGTACATAACTGATTATCAGGGGCTTTGCAAATCGGCTTGAAAAATGAATTCATTGGATAACTCGCTGTTTTAGATATCGTGATCGGTGTACCGTCGCTTCAGGCGCATAATCTAGATGCCAAAATCAGGGAGGAACGTTGCCGATACTTGGTCGCTGAATTGGTGTGTAGGGTGAGTGTCCCCCTCCCTATTCCCTGTATTTGAAACTTTGCGAAAGCCCCCTCCGTATAATTCGTATATATTAATAATAATAATAATAATAATAAAGTACACACCACTAGTCATAGAAATCGAGGACTTCTGAAAACAAAACAAACATTAAAATAGTACCATTAATCATATCTCCAACAGGCATAAGTCCACAATCATTGACAGATAGCTTACAACAAAATAAACACAACATAAGAAATACAAAAGTAAACAGCAAAAATAGGGAGAAAAAGATGTATAAAAGTATTTACTAGAACTGTACAGAATATATAGAAATATTGTTATTGAAATGAATCGAAATTAATCGTGATTCGTATTGTTCCGACACCAAACAGCCGGAATACGAAGATTCTCTGGAACTGTTATGCGGTTTCGTCCGAAAACAGCTTCGACGCGCAACCATGGAGAAGTTCGAGGTGGAAAGAGAATTGTCGCAGCTGCTGCCGATCCCGGTTCCGTTCGTGTTCGGAACACCCGCAGGAGCAGTGGTCGACCTTAGATTATTTAGCCGAGACATTATCAGAAAAGCTTTACCGATCCTAGTTGCTGTTTTGGAGAGAGAGACTCGAGGCTGGTTTCTTCATTTCAGAGAAAGACTGATATCGGAGTTGAGAGCACGGAAAAAGCCGGACGACGAGATCGAGAAAGTACGAAAACAGTTATATACACTATACCCTCGATGAGTGTTCGAAGACTCATCCCGGCACTGAATATTAAATATTTCATAAAGGGAACACATCGCCTTATCAGTGCCGAGGAGCCGTCGAGCACTCATCGAGGATTTACTGTACTTGATTACGGTGTGTGGGGGGAAAAAAAGAAACAAAAAAACGAAACAGGCTTTGTTTTTTTCTTCGTATATCCGAATAATATCGTTTTCAGGAAGTGAACGAGGCTGTTATGAGAGAGTATCTGCAAAGGGTCTTCTCGAATATTCTGTCCCATCCGGATATACAAGACCTCGGAAACGGGATCGCTCAGCTTCTAGTCCAACAAGCCCAGTCGGTCGTGTTGATGCACCGAGCGGTGGAAACGGTGCAACGGAAACTGTTGCAGACCAAGGAATCGTTGAGACGTCATATCGAGAACGAGCATCCGGTACTATCGCGAATAGAGCCCTGGATGCGCGACCGAATGAGAGAGGTCGAAGAGAAATTCATAGAGGAGTGCGAGTGGAGCGCTCACGAGGAAGCCCTCACGCTCTGCACCCATCAAAATTTACAACAGACCGTTTACTTTCTTAATCGGGATTTAACATTCATGAAAGAGGTGCGCATAGAACGCGTGTATGATACTGTTTGAGGGGTTACGTACCTCTGAGCTGTTAAATAAGAGGAAAAATTAAAAAATTGGTTTGTATATGCAGAATTATTGTTTAATACAAATCCAACATATACATTGTTGATTGTTAATAAACACTAATTCTGCATATACATATATTTTGTTTAATTTTCCCTCTTATTTAACTGCTCAATGGTTTGTAACCCCTTAAATTAGAAAGCTAGTATGTCTATTTCGAAGAAAATATACCGTTCCGTTCGCAGAGGGAACCAGTTTTGTTGAAAGAGCTGCGTAAAGTTAAAACGCCCACAAGAAGCTTCCAATGGCCGACTCAGATATGGCTTCCGAAGAATTGGATCGTCAGACGTAGTTTCCAAGGGCAGTCTGAAATTATACCAACGGTGCTGAGCAACACTCCGACGTCCATTACAACGCCCCGCGCTGATCCGAGTCAGCCGGTATTTTTAGTTGAACGGGAAATCGTGCACACGACTACGACAAGGTACATGGTACACCTGGGGTAGTGTGTTGATTAAAAACTAATGAGTTGACGTTTATTAAAACGATTAAAATGTACGTTGTAATATGTCCTGAATAGATGGCCTATGTGGCGTTGGATAAACTACGTAGCTAGAACATGGTGTTGGACATGGAATGCTATGTTCCTGTTAGGTGTAGCAGTACCGTGGTGTAGCCCAGTTTCCATTAGGGCCTTGTTGCTCGTACAACCATTTACCCCTGATCTAGAATTGAGTCAGCTGAACGGTACCTTGTTCCCCCGAAAGTCCTCCCAAATGCCCACTCTCTGTTCTCGATTGATAGCTCTCTGGCGACACATTAGCAAAAGTCGGACACATTTTGAAACAGAACCGGATACTGGTAAGTTTGACCTGATCATCATCCGTAGGAACATGTACATTACGTTTCAAAAACATCATGTAATTCCGTGCAATAGGATTTATTGGCAAAGGAATGACGAGGCATTTAAACAGATTATGGAATTACGGCGTGAAAGGACTATTAGGAACGCTTGTAATACTATTTGTTTTTCCTGTCGTGTGTCTACTGACTAGTCTCGGATCACTCCTTATTGCGCTTACTGCAGTTTTATGGTTCGTCGATAGTATTATATCGTTCGATACTTTTAAGTGTTTATTCTTGGAATTTTTATAACCTACGACAAATGATTTCAGGATGCCATTGATCACCTTGGCGTTGCATGCGTTCATGGCGCTTATAATGGATCTTGATAGTCCGGAGCCAAGTCGGAATCGATACTTAGTCATTATGGAAGCGTTAGTTTGGAATATCGGTGTTCAGGGATGTCTACAGCCGATCGCAGCATTTATCGTAGCACTTATTTTCTGTCCCGTTATTTCTTTTGTGATACTTACAGGTACAATGATAGTAAGATCGATTGCTGTACATTTGGTAAATGCATATTACATATATCGTGCTGTTTAGTTGCTGTGATACGTTACTGGATCAGAGTGGTCTGGGACACGGCTATGTTTCATTTAGTAATAAAGAACAGGGGTCGTATACCTGCCAGTGACAGCTTCGTAGTTAAACGGATAGCCGGGCCAGGATTGACATCCGATTATTATTATCAAGTACGTTGCCTCGATTGTTCGTAACAACGACACCGTCGAATTGATTCATTTTTCCTTCATAGATCAGGCCAGAGCAAGCGCTAGCCGCGTTCGAGGCAAAACTCGAGCTAGACGAATTGTTAGCTTTCCAGCAAGAAACGGAACGATTGATTACACAACCGCAAAGGGATTTTACTCAGTTTGTCGAAGCTTGTTTTGGTCCGTTCGCTGCTAGCCTAGCCAAAACGAAGGATCCGTATAAATCGCTTGAAAAGGAAGCCAAAGATCTTATCGCTGTACTACACGAGAAATTGGATAGACGTAGGAAAAATTTACAAACTGGCCTCGGGATGGTTGTGAGAAGCAAAATAAAACTTACTACCTTTGATTTGAAGGTATACATATACATATATTGTCTAAAACATTATTTTCTAATTTCCAATGCCGCATTTAAAATGGATATTCTATTGTCCCGTAATGATACAGGTAGTAATACAACAAGGAGCGCTAATGCTGGAACGCCTCTATCCTACTCACGTATTTGCGCGATTAACAGGAAACGAAGAAGACTTTTGGGAGAATAAAGGTTTAAGCGTTGCCGACTGGGCTGGCTTGGCTGGCCTGATGTACGCGGACATTTTCAGTCTGAATTTTCTTCAACCTCTCGACGACGCGGACACCAAGTTCAGGCTGGAACCTCATCCAGGCGTTGATCTGTCACGTTACACAGATATGGTTCATAGCACTGAGCTTGGTGGTACCAACGGCCCAGATTTACTGGGTGCCGTTTACGCGCCACGTGGGAATATACAGGTTTATAGTCCTTACTTGGAAGTTTCAGCGTTCAATCCGCGAGCCAAGCAAACTAGTAACAGCAGGAAATCTGAGAAAAGAAGGTAAAAGATGATTCTTTCTGGTCATATTTGGTAATATACAGCACGTTCGAAGCAAGATATGCTAAGTATTGGTCGTGTTGCAGTGATACGGGAGCACTGTTGACGTCAACAAGGATCAAAAGACGCGCAGCTTCGACAAACGGCGTCACAGAGGCACGTTGGCAGCCCTGGAAACGACAAATTCGTCCTTACAGCGCGGAAAAGTTACTCATCCCCCTTCCTATCCCCCATCCTGCTCATATCGCTGTTACAATTCACAATCGCGACTCCGAGAATCCGATTCCACTCGACTCGGAACTCTGTCAGAATATACTCAGGGCGATCGAGGAATCGCCTGGCGAAATGTCCGCAGACTACGTTAGTCGTTACAGAGGAGCGGCAGATTCTAGCTTCGATTCGGTCGCCTCGCAGTCGTCGGTCTCCATCGACGCTGGTTTAGACAAGGACAACGACACCCAAGAAACTACCAACACTGAGAAAGAAGGTGAAACTTATCATTGGACGTTATCGAATTGGGGCGGTGGTGTTACAAGAAGACGAAACAATTCTGGATCTATAAAAGTCGATCTAGCATCGCCGGAAGACGTTACTCTGGACACAGATACCACCAGAGTGATGTTCAGTACGTATGGAACAACTGTTTAAATTTAAATCACTATTATATCAGGTAAACAGAAATATATATATATATATATATATACATATAAAATAGGTGCAAATAGAAAACGACTAAACATAGGATAAAAACAAGCATAAAGTTAGATATGATCTTTTTGTCCATATAATTTTATAAATTTTCATTTATTTATTCGACTTTTATTCTTATGGGGTAGATTAAGCATAATTTCCTTCGTTATTTAAAGGATTGAAGTTTTAAAGATCCTTGTTAATCAAAGAAAAAGACAGTTTACGAATGCAAAATACAGTCATGGGATTCAATGTAATTATGTTTGTATGACATTTGAACGTATCTGTGAGGAGACTACGTTTAAGAACAACGAATAAATAAGAGTATCATTTTTTAGTTATGATAAAATACTTTACTATACCACTAAGTGTGGTACTGAACAGTATCACAAGATGTATCGAAATCTATTTCATAAAGAATATTATGAGTATGAAGATGTGTTTGCCACCACACGTCACTGAAATCGTCTTATGTAAAAATTTTCTAAAACGAATGAAGATTTGAATGACGTTTAGTAAAGTAACAATTCATCTGTGTATTATTATGTATTTTTAACAACTATCATTTTAAATGCGACAAGATCTAATTTGTTGTGCCTACTTGGAACATCTTTTCAGTTCATCCGAGTATATTAGTACCCGATTAATTTACTCAGTCCGCATTTAGTGCTAAGAGATTGCTGAATTTCTATAAGAATTAAATGAATTCATGTGGTTGATATAATGATAAGTATAGAATGCTCATCTGCAAAGTCTGGGATGTCATTACAGATTCATAACTTTTATGTATACAGATTATAAACAGAATCGAGTGATTAGGATTTTACCGTATAAATGGCCAACGCCGTTGAGAAGCCTCTTTAAATATACGTTACAAGAAATTATACAACATTCATATTGATATATTGTATATAGATAGTTTAATTGTATAAATAAACTTTTAATGTGACGATACTTCAAAATACATTTTCTCGTTGCTTACGGTAAAGGACATTTAAAAAAATACATAAAAGTTTGCTCTCTTTCAATGTCTCTACATTATTCATAATGAAATAAGGCCGCGAGGGTTACTTCATTCGGAACTGTTTACGAAGTTTCAAACTGCCAGTGTAGTATACGTATGAGCTGACAGTTATTCGTTAAGATCGCCTGTCAATGATTTACAATTTACATTATTCTCTAATATATGCAAACGATATTCAACGAATTCCGTATCATTAACCATTAAATTATTTGACGCCTATTCGTATTTCAGAATTGTTAATCGGTTCTTGTGCGTACAATGATCTGTCTGCCTTACAGTTAGTCAAATATTTTAATGAGTGTAAAAATTTTTGTAATGTTATACAGTTATGTTCTCCGATAATTCTGTAGTAGTATTATTCATATGTACATATGTAAGAGCTATATTTCAATGTCAAACACTGAGTTTTGAATTTGTGCTTTCATTTGAAGTAATGGTGTACGTGTACGACATGAAATGCAATGTTTTCCGCTGCACTGAGAATATTAAAAAGTACTGTGGAAAGCAAATTCAATAATGCAAAAACAAAAATTAACAAAGAGTTATAGTATCTTGAATTTTGGATATATTCATTGAAACATGTAGCAATATATCTCTACGAATGCAAAATCGCACAATGTAAAATGTATTGATAACAGGCGCAATATGTGGCAAGAAATTATTCATATTTGGATGATAACGTCAACAAGATCCTTGCCTCGGTACAATCGAATAAAAGAATAGAGAATTTTAAAATAACATAATTTTTCCAACTTTCAAATATATCTAAGGTACATCCTGTGTCTGAAGAGTACATTTTACAAAATGCAATTAAAATCAGATACTCGAAAAATACTTGCTGGCGTCGAACAAAGATATTTATAATAGATATTCGAATCTAGATGTCGTAAACCATAGAAGCCATTATTAAGTGATAATAATTATACAATTGCCGTTTTCGACCAGTGTTTGTTTGCCGTCAAACCAAAGTAACTAGAAGTTAGATATTCAAGCGCTCCGTTCTGAAGAGGAAAGCACATTTCGGAACTAGTCTCCGCATTTACTAATATAATGCACAAGTCCATCCAGTGGAGAACATCCAATGAACACGCTGTTATAGTTTTAATGACTATACGGTTAATTAATAATCGCATAATATCCATCCAGGAGTGCTCAATATTAGTGCGAACCTAAGTGCGTCTGATGGCAAACAGGACAATGCAATATTTGGAAATAAGAAATCTATTTTAACGACAGGATACATGGTTGTAACGTTTTCTTATGTTATATTTCAAAATTAACTGACGACCATGAGAAGAATATTCTTTGGAATACTGTTTTATTGTATCAGTCCCTGTTACATGATTGTTATAATATGCATGGATCGAGAGAAGTTTTCACTACGAAGAATTGGAATTTAAAAGCACAAGAACTGCACTGTCTAATTCTTTGAAACACAGAAACACTAAGCTAAGAACTAATTGTGAATGAACTGTTATAAAATGTAAACAATGTTACACAAATTTTTTTCTGTGCAATGCAAATTCGAACTCGTTAAAATCTTGAAGACTCTAATCTATCTGCATGTTTCAAAGGATTATGAACACATGATTCGTTAATGCAAATGATTTTAAACTGGGAAGGTGTAGAGTATTCAAATGTTATTACTTCTTATGATATGAAACTGATACATAAGCGGAAAGAAATCAGTAGGACATATTGTAATAGGTATAAAAATTGTAGAAGAAAATTATTATCATGAATGTAGCATTAATCAAACAAACGTACGTACAAACAAAATGTGTATTATTTTCGTATACTGTAAAGGTATTATATTTTTATCAGTCTGACAAATGATTCGCATTTAGTTTACGCCTAGGTATGTTAGTGTACTACAAGACTTTATTTAAGTATTCTGTAGACAAGAGAATGATTGTACAAAGTCAAATAATTTATGAATGAAATATATAGGATACATTTGCAATACTGCTGGAACCAATAAGAAACTTGAGGTCATTATTAGTTGTAAATTTATATAGAAATCTAAATCGCATGTAAATGGTTTGTAGTTACTAATGTCTATCAGGTATTATCATCATACTACTTCTTCCTGGCTCAAGTTTTCATTTCCATCATGCTATTACAGTCTCACACTTGTATAAAGCAACGTACAACCCCAGGCATACTTGCAAATGTAAAGTATTAGCTATATTCCTCTGCTATTTATTGCAAAGTCTTCGATATTATGATTTTTTTTCTGTTACAAATTATTTATACTAATATCGTAAAGTATTTAGAAAGCCTTCATGTTCTGCTATACATTACATGTATATTTTTTTTCTTAATATTATCATAATTCTTTAAGTTTTTCAATACATTAAACATAAGTGTGATAAAAAAAATGTCTAATTATTGTATCAATCCTTGTTACTGGTGATACATAAATAGTTCGAAAAATTACATATTTTTTTTGTCAAAAAAAAGATCGGTATTGTATGTTAATACAACATTGTATACTTGAATACCGCCAAAAAATGGCGGCATGAAAGCTGGATCGTGTCAGTGCCGCCATCTAGTTTCAGGAACCGTGTACTAATTTACTCGTAGCTTGGGCGATTTGCCACGGATGGCGCCACAAATGCTATTTCCAATACATACAAACTCCTAGAATAAGCTAGGTTTAAAAGTAGTAATCTTGTATAGTATTATAAGTCCAGAATTATTTGTATGTTTAATTTTTTTATATTGTTTTCGCAATGAATAAAGATTACTCTTTATTCATTGGCTTTTCGAGGTACCAGTGCTACAGATTCCTACGGCCACGAAGTCCCATACGACGACAGATCTATTCTATATCACGTCTGTGCTACAAGCAGGCAAGAACTCGTCGATGATAGGACACGGATTTTATTGCGTTTTACTCGAGTGGAAGGGGGCGATGTGAGCGAATTCGCTATTGCACAAGACAGTGTTAAACGTTGCATATCGCGATATACAAATCACAAAACGTGGTCGAAGATATTTAGACGATCGTCATCAAAGAAAAACTGATGAAGCTGACCGTACTCAACACACAGGTATCTGAATATGCATCGGAATTACTACGAAGATGCGATAAGAGATGATTCATGCGCGCAACCTTTGCGATAACAGAGGAACATACATACGTTAACGCGTCAAGTAAACGTGCCTGTGATACACGAGGAAAATTGTGTTAAGAAAATCACAAGTTGTAAAACGTTTAATGTTTGTTGACCACGGGAGTAAAATAACTCGAAGTCAGCATGGTGTGGAAGTGAAAGGAAGTGAGAGTGCATCGAATTAAATTGTTTCATCGAGACACGGCGTAATCGAGCCGAGCTTACGACGCATAAAATAGAACCACCTTTCTTCTGCCATAAATTACGAACTCGAGAAGAATATCATTCAACAACAAATTGACGTTTTCTTCGTACATCGTGCACTACGTTTTTCTTTTCTTTTTTTTTTTTACAAGATATTGTACATCGATATGATACGTGTTTTCGTCGCGGAAATACATTTCGTGCCTGATCAAGATAAAATTCCAAAACCACGGTCAAGATACAACGCTAGGAACGCTTGATAAAATATTAATTCGTAAACCCTGCAGAATATAATTGGCATTTGGTTAAAAAGAAACATGTTGCTGGAAATAAAACTGTACTCGTAACCAGTGATATTTCTGAAGAAAACATCGGAAAAAGGATGAAAGAACGCATTTTGTCTTTCGCGAAAGGCGCAGTTACACGTTGCGTGAGTGAACATCGGTGAGAACGTAGTATAGAATCGGAACTCGATCGAGGTCGAGTGTGCAAGAATCGATCGCTGTATTTTCGTTTCCCCTTTATTTTTTCGACGTCGGAGGGCCGACAACAGGGCGGTAATTGTCGTGTTTTCGGTGTCAGGCTGAAAACGAAATGCTGGAAACGACCATAGGAGCGGATACACGGTAATTTTTCATAGGCGAACATCGGGTTTCGGTGCAAGAGCGCGTGTTTACGTGCGGGGCGAACCAAAACATCAATGACCTTGAAAGAAGAGCGGCCACGTGACCGAGAGGGAGCACAAGGATTGGACGACCGAGGCGCATATAATGTGTATTGCGCCGTGCGCGGCCTGCGTCCCGCATTCCGTGCCCGATAGACGGCGGAGGTTTGCTTGAGAGAGGGGCGTCGAGGGGTCGAGAGACGGGGGCTACACGAGCGACGGCGACGAGAAAGACGAGAGAGAGTGCCGTTCGCCCGTACGTCCGTGTGTGTGCGCGCGCGTTGACTCGGTTGTGTGTTGTCCCAAGATGAAGTCCGACTCTAAACCTTTGTTGACAGCTCAGGCGGAAAAGGCGAATCATTACACGTAAGTAAGCGCCCGCCGGGCCGGTCGCGTGCTACGTGAGACAACTGAGAGAGAATAGAGAAAGAATCGGAGGCCGGAAAAATAAGTGGCGTGATTCAAAAAGTGGAGTGCAACCGAAAAAAAAAGAGTATATAATTAAACACTACGTGCTGCACGTATATGTATACGTAAATAGTATACTAGAGAAAAAAAACGAAAGAGAACGGAAAAAGAGAGGGAGGGCCGCGAGCAGCCGCGGCATCAACGCGCGCGTCAAAAAAACGCCACGAAATAATGTGTAGCTCTGTGGATTCGCATTCCAGATACTTGAAGGAATTTCGCGTCGAACAATGTCCCCTCTTTATACAGCGCAAATGCACACAGCACCGACCCTTCACGTGCTTCAACTGGCACTTTATGAACCAGCGGAGGCGCAGACCGGTGAGAAAGAGGGACCGCACCTTCAACTATAGCGCCGACAATTATTGCACCAAGTACGACGAGACCACCGGCATATGTCCAGATGGGGACGAGTAAGTTTAGCCATTTTTTTCTTCGCAGTTTTAGACCACCGATCTCTCTTCGGATGGATTCTTCCATCGTTAGAATGTTCCGTGATATCTTTTATATCGAATGCATCGATTTCTCTCGTCACAAGTTCCACCGCTACGATCTTATTAAACCTCTTCCTATTTTCTCTAGACTGTGGTAATTTTACCGAATATTGCTCCCTCTTGTGCCATTTATTAAATGTTTCATTTCTCGGATAGCCTCTACGTAAATATGAGGTACGGGTCGGGAACGCTACCCAGCTAGAATAATGAACGTATTTCGGTGGACAAGAATCCGTACGGAAAACAAGTTCTCGACCGCTTAATGGGAACCGTGTCTCGGGAATCGATGTGTGTCGAAGGAAATATTAAAGCAGGGATTCGTGGTCGTGCTTCTTTGTGTCGTTGACACGCGTGTGCTGTAACATGCAATATACATCTGCGTGGGTAACGACGTAACGTCTTGTCGAGAATAACCTATGTAACGACGAGGAGACCAATTTTCGACGTAACTTTCGAGGACACGCGCGCGCACGCGTGCCTCTTGCTCTGCTCCCGTTGCTACTTCTGCGTGCGCGATGATGTGCGCGCGCCCACCCTCTTTTCTACGTGTGTATGCGTCGCGAGAGAGACCCGAACTGGTCGAAAACATTGCTGCACTGGCATGTCTCTCTCTCTCCGATTTGTATACAACGAGAAAGCAGAATGGAAGTGGAGTAGCCATAACAGTTTCGCCTACATGTTCACCTGCATTTTATCAGGACCTTTGTACTAGATTTTCTTGCCGGTTTTATTCACGCCACACCACGATGAAAAATTAATACATGCATGTATGTATGTATGCAATATACACACGCGACACTCTATGTGTGAATAAACGCATTCGAGTAGCCGGATGAATGGTTGTAAAAGGAAAAAGAACCGAGAAGATAGCGGGTTTTCTATTTCTAGAAATATTAGAACGGCTCGTATTACGAAGTGTAAACACACGGAACGTTTTCAATCGGTCGTTATAAAATTCCGATTCAGGTATTGCATAATTCCCCGTAATCTGTCGCTTACCCACAGCCGCCACTATTCAGGAATAAACCCAGCTGCACGAGACGACGTACCTTTTATTTCTTTATTTTGGTATCTCGCCCGAACTTGCTATTCTTTCTTTTGTTTTAAATCGTTAACCCCTTTTTTGTGGAACTTTTCTCATTAAATGGTATTTTCATCCATTAAGGCGTATTAGGGGGGTTTTGTTTATTAATAAAATTTAATCGACATCGAAGAGTTACAAATGTTGATACGGGTTATTATTTCCAAGTAAATTTAACCTCAATTCTATGCGTTCAAAGGGAAAAATAAGATCGAAATGTTTATATTAACGACTGAACAGAAAATAGAGAAACTAACGTGTCATTTTTTTTCTTCTTCCTTTTTAATTGATTACGCGAAACATTTCAGATTCGTTCGATCAAGTCGAGGTTAAAAAACGATCTTACGGAAACAGGTCGTAAATCGTGTTCGTCTTGTTGGTGAATGCATGCTTACATGTTCCTCTCCTCGCGCAACCGCCATTGCTTGCGATATGTATAACTACCGTCGTACTGCTAACCTGTTGTCATCCATTGTAGATAACCCCTAACATAGCCATAGGCAGAAATTTCTCTAAAGATTTCCAACGAAACTACAAGTTCCGCCTGGTAGCCATGTTTTCTGTATACTCTAATTATTCGAAATGCTAGAAATTATTCATTTAATTTATCCATCCTAAGTTATTCCCTGTCTGATGTAGCAAGTGCAACGACGAATGCAAAAAAAAGTTGCGAACAAGCGTAGTTACGACATCGAGGTTATTGACTCAGATTTATTTAGTTACAGATATCTACGTAGGAATACGATATAGAAATGTAGGTCGCCGTTTTCGTTTATCTCGTTATTAATAAATTCCTCGACGGTCGAAGAGTAATAATAAATATTCCACTTATTTATAATATTGCTAGAGAAACAAATACTTTCGGTTCTGTGTGTCTCGTATTCCGAAGTTTTCCGAAAACTGTAGAAATAATGGGAAATTGATCGACGGGCATCGTGAAGATATACTCGTAGATAAATTGCAGCTCGAGTAGAGCGGGTTGAATTACCGGAATTATCAATAAATACGTTGAATGTTTTATCTCTTCATGAACAAAAAAAAAGAAATTAATATGAGCAGTTTGTTTGAGACACCCAGAGAAATGTTAAACGGTCGGTTAACTGTACTTGTTATAAAATTTCAACAACTAACGCGAGAAAAGTTTTTCTAAATCATTTCTACGTTGAACTTTCTACGATATATCGCTTCCGAGATCATATCAATGAAAAATTTTCTCTGGTTCGTTATCAACTCATGAAATACGTGTGTGTATCTGTCTGTCTATAGTCGAATGTTTTTGTGTGGTTAGATTTTTAAGTAAAAATTGACCTTTCATATAGAAATGAAAAAGAAATGAAGGTGTAAAAATGTTACGAAAAATACACAAGTGGTTTCCGTTGAAAATTCAAACGTTTAACTTTTCACGTTATGATGGATACAAATTAACTCTCCACTAATACACTCCGTTTATTGCATTTTCATGCTATTATCGTAGCTTCTTTTTTTTTTTTTAACTCGAGAAAGAAAGATAGTGTATGTCTTATCTTTATTACGATAATTGGTGCTACGAACTCTAATTAAACTCTGCTTAATTGAAATCAATATTTATATTGTAATTTATGGAACAGATTTTCTGTTTCATAATACTCATTCGAGCGTTCTGTACTTTACGTTTGCACGAAAGAAAATGTATTCGATTTATCAATTGGAATAAATATATAGTTTGTATTGTCCAATTGCGAAAGAAAATTGCTGTGATATTCTACGTCTGATATATCGCCGGAAATATCACGATAGGATTTTCCCTCCAAAATTCTTCAATTACCAGACAAAGGAGCCTGCTCATATTGATTTTCTCCTATGTAGCTAGATGGCAACAAAGAGTTATATGTGATATTTTTGTTGCTACAGAGTATAAAGAAACGTCAGAATTATTATGGCACAATAATTAACCATTTATTTTATAATATTGTAAGCCTAATTTGGTAATTACTTTTATTATTAATGTGTCCGATTTTCTGAGTTAGTCGTTAACGAATACATATTAATATATACATATCATTAAGTAATTTTTCAGTTGAACTACAATATATTACGCTAAACTGCATGTTTAATTTCACTTGTAACTTATTCTCTGTTTCTTTTTTCTGTCTTCTCAAACAGGTGTCCATTTCTTCATCGAACCGCGGGAGACACAGAAAGACGTTATCACCTACGTTATTACAAGACTTGCATGTGTGTCCATGATACAGACACACGAGGATTCTGTGTCAAGAATGGACCTCATTGTGCCTTTGCACATGGCAATCATGATCTTCGACCACCTGTTTACGACATCAAAGAAATACAGGCGCTGGAAAACCCTGATTCTGATCCGAATTCATCTTCAAACGGACCAAACATACTGGACAAAGAGAGGAACTTGATGAACGAGGATCCAAAGTGGCAGGATACAAATTATGTGCTCAGTAATTATAAGACAGAGCCTTGCAAACGCCCACCACGACTTTGTCGTCAGGGTTATGCTTGCCCACAGTATCACAATAGCAAAGATAAGAGACGTAGTCCTCGTAAATACAAATATCGGTAATTAATTGCAGACAGTAGTTCTGTTGCACAAAAAAATCTTATTCCTGGCTAATAATTCATATTTATTTCAGGTCAACACCGTGTCCGAATGTGAAGCATGGAGAAGAATGGGGCGAACCAGGGAATTGCGAACAGGGAGATGCTTGTACGTATTGTCATACACGTACAGAACAGCAGTTTCACCCTGAAATATACAAATCCACAAAGTGCAATGACGTGCAGCAGGCCGGTTACTGTCCACGCGGAGTCTTCTGTGCGTTTGCACATGTTGACCGTGAGTGTACCCTCATAAATCGTACGTAAAACACTTATTATTACCTTAGTAAGTTCAAAAGATTCATTTCACCGTTTCGTTTCGGCCGCAAATACTTAAATCCTCTTTACAAGCAATCGAAAGCCAAAGTGTCTGACATATTTGATTTACTAACATCCATAAGAGTGTATTGCTTTTTTATAAAAGCGCGTTTTGGCGTTTAATTGTTGGGAATTGTATCTGATAAATGTAGGCGTTTATTGTTTCGATATGATAAATTCAGTATTCAAAATTGCTTCTCAAAATTGATATATTGGGACGTTGGTATGGTGTGCTGATGGAGCAGTGTTGCCAACAGAAGAAATGAGCCTGGCGAGGGACATGGCGGTACCTATAGATTGTGGCACCAATCTGGCAGACATTCTCAGTAATGCGCTTCCACCTGATAAACGAAGTCACGAAAAGGATAAACCACTTAGCGATAGCAGTGTAAGTTCATGAAAATATGCATGATATAATGGCGGGAAAACAAAAAACCCCCCGTTTAACCAGTTCTGTCAAATACTTCAAAATTGTAGAATGGAAGCGGCGAAGTATCAGAGTCAGCGAGTACTAGTAGCATTGGTAGCAACAGTTCGCACAGTAAAGCTCCAGGTGCTCAACTTCATAATTCGAATTCCAATTCCGCCGTGAATGCTTCTAATCAGCAGAAGTTAACGAGCATACTTTACAATCCTAGTTCTCTTCTTCAGGTTGTAAGTTTTACTTTCTATTATGTAGTACTGTTGTCTTGAACTGGCCCGATAGTAGCTTAATTGTAACGTTGAAAATGTTAAACAGGGCGAAATTCGAAAGCAAATGGTTGCTATAGATAGTGATCCTCTGTTAACAAAAGCCGAGAAAGCTCAACAGAAGCAGAGTCTGTACATTGCTTATAGTTTAAATGGAACCTTGGGCAGTCATTCGTTAGCAACTACGGTTTCACCACTTTCAAGTTCATTTTATCCAAACGATACCGTTGAATCTGTAGTAGGTAAGTTATATCGAGGAAGGATATTATTTTTTTTTCCCCCTTTTCCCTCGAAAGTCTATGATTAATTTATGTTGCATTTTCAGGAAACGCATTAGACGAGTTGCATTTAGATGATCCTTTAAATTTAGTAGAATCAATTCATAGGGATACTAATTCACCAATTAGCAATTCAATATCAGCAGGCCTAGCAAGCTCTGGATTATTGGGCAGCTCAGCTCCAGTTAATATTCCTGGAATGGCTGAACGTTCGGTTCTTACCAATTTCTCACCGTCTACATCCAGTCCGCTTCAGCAATTACATTCGGCTAGTTTTCTCACTGGGTCCAGATTTTCTCATCAAGATTCCATGGAATCGGTAAATCAACGCATCCTTTTTAAACGAATTTTTCTATATTTTACGGAATTGTGTCCAATGTTATTTTCTCTTTTTTTTTCTCGAATGATTTCAGACAATGCCATTTATGAATCAAGTATCAGATCCATTTAGCAATCATATTTCACAACTTAGCAGTTCAGCATCTAAACTTAGCGGATTCAATAGTAGCTTATTTGATTTCACGAATCAAGGAATGTCACCGTCACGTACACAACCCCTTCCAGCATCTCCGTTGGTTAATGCATTTTCTATCAGTCCTAGTAATACAGGATCTTTATCTGAGGTTAGACGTTCCCTCACTTTTTTTGATCGGACATCATTATTTAATTACCGCCGAGGGGTTAGAAAAGTGATCTGACGTATAAATAAATTCCTCGTAGGTACAAAGGCTTAGGGAAGAGTTAACGTCGAGCCGCGCCCAATTAGCAACATGGGATGAACGAATTAATCAAGCCAGGGCGGCTTGCGCGGCATGGCAATTAGAGACAGAGGAAGCCACGAGCAGAGCAAGGATTGCTGAACAGCAAAGAGACGAGGTAGATATTTTGTTCAATCGTTATGGGTAACTAATTAAAATCGAAACGTCAGTAAGTAGTAAGGGATTAGTAAATATCTTTTAATCGTTCTCTTTATGTGGATTTATAATTCGGTAAGCATTAGGAGTATAAATTATTGACAGGCCTTATTGAAAGTGAAAGCATTGGCGGCTGAAAATGAAGCGTCTAGCGGTGGCCCTTACCTTCATACAATAAGAAGAACAAGCGAGCTCAGATCGTTATCTATAGCTGCGTTAAAGTCAATACAATCGCAGCTCCGTTCGGATCTCGAAGAAGTGGAAAAGGTAAAACAAAGTTGTCACGGCGGTGTAAACAGTTGGTATATCAAGCAACTTTAAAATAATTCTTAGTTTATCGAAAAGGATGCGAAAGAATATTCATTTCTACTGCTACTTCTACCATTACTAATACTGCTACTACCTACTATCACAACTATCACTGCTACTGCTACTGGTACTACTACTACTACTACTGCTACTGCTACTGGTACTGCTACTACTACTACTACTACTGCTGCTGCTGCTGCTGCTGCTGCTACTATACTTACTACAGCTATTACCTACTACTACTATACTTACTACAGTTATTACCTACTACTACTATACTTACTACAGCTATTACCTACTACTACTATACTTACTACAGCTATTACCTACTACTATTTACTGCTACTGCTACTACACTACCTAATCTTTGTATTATTCTCTTTTATTCTCATGTTAATCAAAAACGTTTCAAATTGACTTACAAGCATTTCTAATTCGTGTAATTAATCTTCGCGACTAGTTCGATTAATGGAAACAGTATAGGTAGCTGAGTCGTTGCCGTTACAGGTGCTGTACAGAGAAACGGCAACAAAGTGCATGGTTTGTGAGGAACAAAATCGCACTGTTACCCTCTCGCCCTGTAACCACTACGTGGTCTGCTCGACGTGCGCTCCAAATCAACGAGAGTGCCCGTACTGCCAGACTCCGGTTGTCTCCACGAGTTAGGTCTGAATAATAATTTTGTTAGAGCTCCCCGTTGTTACAATTGCCGCAGTTTTCTCAGTAACAAGGACTAAATATTTATCATGAAACTCCGTATGTGAGTAGGCGTTAGAGAACTTGACACGAAAAAACCAGTACTTTGAACGCTATGGTATTATGTGTATATATATACACACACGTATATATATATATATAT